AAAGGGAGCCAGATCAAACACCAAATGTCTCCTCAAGGTTGGAACTATAAAGGTTCAATGTTTATGCATTCCTAAGAATTTTATGCTTGAGCTGTAGTGTCACGTAACGCTGATTTATTATCCTACACGAAAGAAAAATTTTGTCAACCTTTACGCAAGTGTTCCAGAAAGTGACACCAAAAAAGCTTGAATAACTATAGCAGATTAATTCTTAGTTGCCAATAGTTTACTCCAATAAGCCAACTTCTCAACAGACGATCTGCAATGATGATGTCAAACGGCTGTTTAGAGCAGAACACAGCAGGTGATTAAATGCACATCTCAACTGCTTTCTATCTCTATTAAGCCAAATTCGATTAAAGAAAATGTAGGAATTTGGATCGCTATCTCCATTGCACCTAAACGGACAAGACAAAGTAAAATATCAGATAGCTGTCAAGCATTGTGCATAGAATTTTGAAGCAATAGGCCAAAAATTTTATTTTTAAAAAATTCTAACGGCAAAGCAGGAAGACATAAGTTATTTTTTAAATTTACTATGTATCCTATTCGACGTACGTTTCCGATGTGTTAAAAATAATCTATAATATCATTTATGACCAAACTTGTGTGTTGTTGCCCATAGGGAGGCAAGATTGTAGTCAAAGCCACAAAAATAGGCGCAAAAACAATTCAAAAGCTAATGTTAGTGAAGAACGACAATTAATGTTCTCTATAACTGCTGATTTGCGCATTCATGGTGTGACAGCAATGGAAAATAGCTTAGTAACATAGCGCGGCATTATAAACTCGAATTGCAAAAGTGATGCATTCCAAAAGTATGAAGGTAAATAGGAACATGTTAAAATTAGCATAAATACTCTAACCATTTTCGTTGTTTAGTGACTAATGAAACCATCTGTGGATTACTGGGAAAACCGTAAATTAAGTTTTAGAATAAGAATGATGCTCACCAACAGGATAGATCCATATAAGGATAAACTCTTCATAGAAGACAGCTCAACTCATCGGATTAACGGATGTTTAGTAAGGGCATAAAAGGCGTGTCGACCACCTGTTAGCGAAGCCAGTGAGGTAAGGGGTCCGCCCCTTTGAGGCAGCAGAGCCGCGGCCATCAAAATCACCGCCTCGCTAATCGCCGACGATATCCTACGAACGGATCAGCCGAATTTGAGGAAGAGGAAACGAGGGCAATGATGATGTGAAAGCGAGGTCAATGCATGGATTAGTGAGCTTACACGTATTCGATCCCTGGATTTTGGTAGCTTTTATTCAAAACTTCTAGGATTATCCTAGAAACTTCGCGTATTCGGAGATATTAACGAATCGAGAAATGTGTTCAGTCTTTAATTCATGCATCCCACTTATTGCAAGTTATGCGCTTATAGGAATCAAATTCTTACAGAAAACATAATTTTTCATAATCGTTTCCCTGTCATGATATACACATGTATTTCAAATCAGTAAGCTTTTCGTAACCGGACAATACTAAATTCATTTATTGAAGTTTGGTCTTTACCTCAGCTAAAAAAACTTTATTAGTAAATCCTTCTGACGCGGTTTCACGCTTACGTTATCCTCTACCCTGAAGTCATTTTCAGGACTTAAACACTTACTTCCATATCTCTTCTACTTTAACCATTATACTTTTCTCTTACGAAATCTGCTGTTATATCGTCTTTTATAGCATTTGATATAAGTTCCGCTTATCTAAATTTGACCGCCTTCTCTACCTTGGCTGGGTCATCGAATAACACCTGGGAATAAAGCGTAATTATGAAAAAACCATTGAATGCGTTC